TGAAATAAATGACGTTTTTGGTGACAATGAAATTGGTAGTTAAAAAGAAATAAATCTTTTGGCGACTAAATGTTTGGTAGTTAAAACTCAAACGACTTTTGGCGACTAATAATTTAGTAGTCAAAACAACTTCAAAATAGTTATGGCGACTAAATGTGTGGTAGCTAAAAATCAAAAGGCTTTTGGCGACTAAATATTTAGTAGGCAAACAACTCGAAAACATAACAAAATAACTATGGCCGACTAAGGTGTTTAGTAGCTAAAATCCAATAGCTTTTTAGCGACTAAAGTTTTTCGTCGCCAAAAATATAGTAAGTAACTGTGGCGACTAAGCATTTCGTCGCCGAAGATATTTTACCTTTTTGCGACAAAAACATTTAGTAGCTAAATATGTCAGGTAAAGGAATTAATCAACCGATTCGGCGACTAACATTTTAGTCGCTAATGTCCCTTATCAGCGACTACGGATCTTTCAGTCGCTAATACCTATTATTTTTGCCTACTAAAAGGTTAGTCGGTATTGTATACTACTTATGGCGACTAAATATAGTTTAGTCGCTAATTCCTTAGGCGACTATGTATCCCCGACGAAGCCAGCGACCAAATGATTTAGTCGGGAATGTGTTTTGGCGACGAAATTTAATACTTTTGGCGACTAATGTTTTAGTCGCCAAAAGTATATTTTTTTGTAGTTTAGTCCCAAGCACAACCTGTAAGGGATAGGCTACCCAAAAATTAAAATTAAAAAAAAAAAAACAAATCCATTGCAATATAAAAAACCAAATCCATTGTTTCTCCAATACTCATACAAACCACACCACAACTTTCATCACCTCATTGAACTTGAATTCCTGTTAAATAATAAAAGGGAAAAAACAAATAATTAATACTAATAATAAGATGTAAAAAATGTTAACAATTAAAACAAAAAAGATGACAACTAACACAAAAGTGACACACGACTTGTGACGCCTCAAAAAATAATTACAATAATCCACCCACAATATCCAATATATGATAACAACAATAATAAGGTTATCTTCCATTAATTCAATATGATATACAAAAGAGAAACATATGCATCATACATTCATAAAACCTAACTCTAAATCTATAGCATATGCTACCAATTAAAGGAGAGGAAAGAAGATAACAGACAAAAATGCCATGAAGGCTTACATATTTTCAAGATTGTGCTTAATTACAACAAAATAAGTCATCAGCTTAATACAAGTAAAGCCCTAGGCTTGAAAAGAAAATAAATACAAAGCAAACAGAAATTGAGCCTTCAGCCTCAAAGTCCTCCCAAGCTACGTATTTGGAGGAGACATATCACCTGCACCTGAAAATGATTTTTTCCAAGTAAGGTGAGCCAAACCCCAGTAAAAACAATCTAACACAATATATGAATCTTAACAAAAATATGAGTATAAAGTGCATATACAATGCATATGACAAAATCATTTGTATTGTTAAAATATCATAATATGTCAAGTCTTATATCCCAAGCCATTTTAGTCTTATTTCATTTCATGACAATTCATTTCATCTCAATCCATGAGTTAAATCTATTGTTATCCAGACAACACAACTGAGGTTACAACCCAGTGGCTCTCTAACCAATTCAATAATCATATAAACACTTCAATTTGTCATTTTATGGAAATAAAAAAAAAAAAATTGTTAACATTAAATATATTAAAAAAGATTGAAGGTATATTTAGTTTTTGTTGTGAACCTTAAAAAAAATGATTGTTAACATTAAATATAAAAAATAAAAATGGGGATTAAAGTAGGTTGGGAAAAATTCATACCCATTAAAAAATAGGGAGGGTGGTACCCATGGAGAATAGGGAATGAGGAATGGGAAAAATTTATTATAGGAGAATGGAGATGGGAAATTAATATCCACCCCATTGCCCCCATTGCCATTCGTAGATCTCCTCCTCAGACCTACAGATCTGAACAACCACCATGCCTATCTCAATTTAACTCCTCTACAGAGGAGCACTACCACAACCTCTACGCCATCATTGGCGCAGTGTCTCAGGAGCTCAAAGACATGGTGGTTTCGGCGAAGCTCAATTCCGTCGCCGCCAACTAACCACCGCCACCGTCATTCCCCTGATTGAATGCCTCTCTTTCTTTTCCTCTCTCTTCTCTCTCTCTCTCTCTCTCTCTCTCTCTCTCTCTCTCTCTCTCTCATATTCCATCATCTAGATCTAAGGAGCCTCTTTTTTACATTTATACATTTGTTGGCTACATATTTTGTTAAAGCCAGTTATAGTTCGACACGTGGCAGAGTAAGGGTAATAAAGGAAGGTTATTCGAGCCTTTAATCCTGATCGTACACGTGGCAATAAATATTGGTCCTCACATGATCTGAGTAACACTAGATCAATAACGGGATGCAAGATGACGTGTCTTCAACGGTTACTCATATTCAAATTCAAGTACAAGAGAGAAGCTCAACTGCCAGTAATGGCGTAATGGAGCAACTTGTAAGGAAGCATGATCAGCGATCATGGAGGAGCAGTTCGACGGTTCGAGGTACAGTTCGAAGGTCATCACTGACGAGTATAAATAGCAGGGCAACCCCCAGAAAAAGAAGAGGGACTGAGATCATACAAATCAGTCATTTACTTCATATATTTTCTTTTCCAGTCTTTTACATTTCCAGTCTTTAAATACCTGTTCTTTAAATACCTGCACTTTAAATACCAGCACTGCACTTCGATTCATAGGAGTAGCTTCAAGTAGATTCAAGTAGATTGCTGTTGTAAACCTCTCTGAGGCTGAGTTCGGACCATTGTAAGTGTTCATTTTTATGAAATACTTCAATTGTTCTTCATATTACTGTTATTTTCTATTAACTTCTCCTAAATCAAGCCACCAGTAAAAGTCCTCTTCATTGAGGCTGAAAAGAACTAAAACACAATCGTCTGATAATTGGTTGGCAATCACAATTTCTGTAAGGACTGATTGATCCTTGCTGGCACGCTCACATTCACAAAAATACCCTTCGAAAAGCCAAAAAGCCAACAACATTATACACACATACGTGCACACACACACATATATATACAATGACATATATGTGAGAGTTTATTTTCGATCAAGTGTAAGGGAATACTGCCAGCATTTGTGGCTAAAATGAAAGGTGAACTACCCAAAAATGCGGTGATTAAAGCTAACTCTAGGGAACAATCATGGGAAGTGAAATCCAACAAATTGGTGATGAACACCGCATCACGCACTGTGGTTGGAACAAGCTCGTCAACGATAACCACTTAACATTTGGGGATTCCGTAGTTTTCAAACTAATTTCGGATTCGATGTTTGACATTGTTGCATATTGTCCAAGTGGCTGTGAAAAGGAACTCAACCCTGCAATTTAGACCTACAAAAATCCATTCATGGAACCTAATACCCCATCACAAAAATCCATGGATTCACCATCTCTCTCTCTCTCTCTCTCTCTCTCTCTCTCTCTCTCTCTCTTTTATTTTTTTTTATTCTGGGTTTATATAGTTACTTGAATTTGACATGCTTGCATAAGCAGATCCGTATGGTAGGCAATCAAACTAAGAAGTGGGTTCTTCATCATCTGCTAAACCCATGAATCTGTTGGAGAGTAAACTTAAAGTCCCCAGAAGATGGAAGAAGAACAAGAAGCAGCAAGAATACTCTAGAAAAAGCTTGAAGAAGATAATGAAGCTTCAGGGAAGCTACCACTGACTATGAGCTGGAACCAGGTAAGAAGCTTAGCACTTAAGCTATGGAATTCAACACACGGTTTGTACACAAGAACAAACCTATAAATAGATGATGATAGTTTGTTGTATTTAAATGAATCACACAATTAAGAAGCCTAAAAGACGTTTCAGAGATAGAGAGGTGGGAGATAAAAACCCACAGATTATATTGTTATATTGTTTGAAATAAAATTCATTCATTTGTTTGTGTGTAAGACATCATATATTCCATACAAAATATATAGAAGCCAACTATCAATGGTATCAGAGCCTAGGAGGCCAAATTTCTGCAAAAACATAGGCAGAATAGAGCAATTTTTAGAATTGCCCAGAAATAAAAGTTGTCAAAATCAACTTTTGATCATAACATGTTGAAGGTCTCGTCCAGATAATCACGTAGGAAAAAATCATGTCAAAAATCGAGCTCCGAGGACGCCGCACGCACCCCACGCGCCGAGAGACACTGTCACCACTCATAGGCGACGCACTCCACGCGCCCCACGCTAATCCAATAGGAGAAGACGCGTAAGGATGACGTCGCATGCCTGACGTTATCAACTCCCACGAGCAACTGAGCCATGCTGCAGTATGAGCCGAGCACCGTTTGAGCCGCTGACGTCATCTGACATCAGCCTGATGCATGAAATATGGAGTTTTGATCCAGTGCTTCGCACACCACATTTTTTTAGCAAATCTGAATCGTTAGTTTTATTTTGGCTAAAACTAAGCCATCTGGAGTTCAATCACAACGATCCAATAGTGTTTTTTAACTATTTGAACCATTCCAGACTCATCTGTACCGTTAGATTTTGGAAATTCAATTTCTAAAAATACTTGAAGATTAAAGCAAGCTATCCGATGGCATCCTTAGGAAATTTCTTCCAACCTCAGTTTCCAAAATTAGACAAAGGCAATTGTGAGTATTGGAGTATACAGATGAAGGTACTCCTATCATCCCAAGATTTATGGGATTCGGTGGAGCACGGATATAATGAACAACCGTCCAAAGAAAATGAATGAAATTTGATAGAAGCCTAAAAGATCATACCTAAAGATGCAAAGACAAAAGACAAGAAAACCTTATACTTAATTTATCAATTCATAGATCCAGTTACTTTCGAAAAGATCTCCATAGGAAGCACATCAAAAGAAGCATGAGAAACTCTTTAAAAGGCAAACTGAGGAATTGAGAAAACCACAAAGATTTGACTCCAAGTCTTACGAGAAGAATTCAAATTATTGTAAATGAAGGACAATGAGTCAATTTCTAAATATTTTACCAGAATTTTGACTATTGTTAACCAAATTAAAAGACTCGGTGACAAGATTGAAGAAATTCGATTTATTAAAAAGATACTTAGATCACTTAGTTCGAAATTTGAACATGTGGTTGTTGCTATTGAAGAATCAAAGGATTTTAACAACTTGACAATCGATGAATTGTAAGCATTGTTAGAAATTCACGAGCAAAGAATCAATAAGAAGACTGCGTCAAGTTCCCTTCAGCAAGCTCTCCAAACAAAGCTTTTGATAAAAAGAATAAGAAAGACCTCAAATCAACAAGGAAGAGGAAGATATCCCTAGTACAAGACGTCCACAACAATAACAGGATTATGGTGATCGCCGATCACCAACAATAAACAGTCAAAGAGGTCGAGGAAGAGGTCGATACATAAGACTACAAAGGAATGACAAATCTCAAATTTAATGTTATGTTTGTCAAAAATTTGGACATTATGCTACGAAATGTTGGTATCGAAATACAAACAATGAAGAAAATGAAGTCAATTATGGTGAAGTTAAACAAGATTCCACTATGCTACGAAATGTTGGTATCGAAATACAAACAATGAAGAAAATGAAGTCAATTATGGTGAAGTTAAACAAGATTCCACTATGCTACTGACATCTAATGATAGTGGTGAAGCAAATCAAAATAGCTTATGGTACCTTGATTCTAGTGCCAACAATCATATGAGCGGCAAAAGAGAATTGTTCGCAACACTCGACGAAAGTCAGCAAGGAGAAGTCACCTTTGGAGATTCAATAAAGAGGCCCATGAAAGGAAAAAGAACTATTGGCATTACGTTGAAGAATAGAGAACAACAATATATCAGCAATGTTTATTATGTGCCAAATTTAACGAGTAACATTCTGAGTTTGGGTCAGTTACTCGAGAAAGGCTACAATATCCGCACAAAAGAGTTGGAATTATCCATCTGCAATTAACACAACAAATTGATCACGCATGTAAACATGACCAAGAATCGTATGTTTCCTCTCTATATACAAGCCAACAATGTTGTTTAATCCACTTGTTACAAAGTGAAAGTTGTAGATAACACTACATTGTGGCATCTTAGATTTGGTCATTTGAACTTTCAAGGATTGAACATTATGTCAAGGAATAACATGGTGACAAGGTTACCATGGATCAAGCTTCTGCTAAAGAAATGTGAAGGATGTCTCATCGGCAAACAACATCGAAAAAGCTTTGGAAATGGAGGAATAAAAAGAGTAACCTCTCCAGTTAGTCCACACAAATGTATGTGGTCCTATATAACCCATGACACTCGGTAGAAACATGTATTTTCTTATTTTCACTGATGATTTTACTAGACAGACATGAGTTTATGTCATGAAAGAGAAAAGTGAAGTTTTTCAAAAATTTAAAGAAATCAAATCCTTAGTTGAAAAACATAGTGGATATTTCATCAAGACGAGGAGATTTGATTGTGTAGAAGAATATACCTCAAAGGAATCTGACAGATGGAAATGACAAAATGTCCAAGTATGATGAAGGAGATAAGGTTAATCCAACTTATTTCAAAAGTCTAGCTGGAAGCCTAAGATATCTCATAGCCACGAAACCTGATATATTGTTTGCAGTAGGCTTAGTTAGTTGGTATATGGAGAAACCCAAGACGCCACATCTGAATGCAGCCAAAAGAATCCTACGGTATGTGAAAGGTACAATAGAATACAGATTGTTTTATTCATCTACTAAAAAGTCCAAATTAGTAAGATACAACGATAGTGATTAGGCAGGCGATGTGGATTATTGTAAAAGTACTACCGGGTTTGTGTTTTATCTTAGAGATACTGCTTTTATGTGGTCCTCAAAGAAACAGCCGTAGGTAACTCTATCGGCATGTGAAACAGAGTATGTAGTTATTATTGCAGGAGCATGTCATATTATCTGATTAAGAAATCTGTTGAAAGAAGTTCAAGATCCACAACAAGAAGCCACAAAGATATACGTGGATAACAAGTCAACAATACAGTTAGGAAAGAATCTAGTCTTCCATCATAGCAGCAAGCACATCGACACAAGATTTCATTTCATACGAGAATGCATAGGAAATGAAAAGATCCAGTTGATACACACAAAGAGTGTAGATCAAGTTGCAGACATATTTACAAAGCCCCTTAAAACAACAACATTTGTGAAGCTATGAAGAATGCTCGGAGTTACCTTATTTGGCGATTCAAGTTTAAGAAGGGATGTTGAAGAGTAAACTTGAAATCTCCAGAAGATGGGAGAAGAAGATGAAGAAGCAGCATGAATACTCTAGAACAGGCTTAAAGAAAAAGATGAAGCTTCATGGAAGCTACCACCGACTATGAGTTGGAACCAGGTAAGAATCTTAGCACTTAAGCTATGGAATTCAACACAGGGTTTGTACACGGGAGCAAACCTATAAATAGATTATGATAGCTTGTTGTATTTAAATGAATCACACAATTAAGAAACCTAAAAGAGGTTTGAGAAATAGAGATGTGGGAAACAAAAACCCACAGATTGTATTGTTATATTGTTTGAAATAAAATCATTCATTTGTTTATGTGCGAGACATCATAAATTCCATACAAAATATATAGAAGGCCACCATTAGATTCCTAGCTATGTCATGGTTTTAAAGGAGTACAGAAAATCTCGCTTGGTAAATTAAGAAAGTGATTGGTAGTTTAGGTTACAGCGGAGAATAAAAGAAAGTGATTTGAGAATACTTTGCTCCTGGATTTCTCCAGATTTGCTCATTTTTTATTTTTTTATTTTTTTTGGAGCTCATGATTATTGTTGTTGATTGCACAAAATTGGTGAATTTTTTTTAATTTTTTATTGTTGCAGTTGATGATGATTATGATAATGAAGCATATTGCAACTGATTAAAAAAACATTTGGAACAGATATGTTTAAAAGAATTTGTATTGGATCTGTTCAATTTGAACAGATAGATTTCAAAAGATAGGGAACATATTAGGACAGGTTTTAAACAGATAAAGAAAGAAATCCACCAATTTTGAATAGATAAGGTAAAAAAATTGAATTGATAGGAAAGCAATTGAACAGATAGAAAAAAATTTGAACAGGTAGTCAACGAAAGTCAACAGATAAAAAAAGTCAACCGATAAATTAATGAGTGAAATTAGAGATAAAATGTCCTTCAAATAAATAAAAGAACTTCTAACTAAACTATTTCAAAAATTGTGAATCTCTCACCAATAAAAAAATATTTACTAAACCTATTATCTTATACTTTAGATTAGATTTATCATCAATTTTTTTTTCTATTAAAAACCCCAATTGTGCTGCCAAATGATTTAATAAATTATTATTATTATTATTATTATTATTATTATTATTATGCAAAAATTTACTAAAATTTGACAACTTGAGTTTGACTAAGCCCACATTAAAAATATATCACTGCATTTAAGGCAGTTGTTAATTATTTAAAAACAAAAAAAAAAATTCAAAATTCAAAACTGCACCATCTAGGGACGGACCTATCTAAGGCGCGTAGAGTCACATGCCCCTTAAATTTCTTATATTTATACGAATATCCTTATATATAAAACTCTTTTTTTTTTTCATTTATTCCTCATAAAATTGCAATAGTACCCCCTCTATAAATTATGTAAAACTTTGTAAGTGTCCTATTTAATTATTTTAACTGTTAGTGTATATTAGTGCTTGTAATGATGTTAGTAGGTTAGTACTTGTCTTTATTAAACATTACTTTAAGTTAGTGTTCGGCTACTTTCGGCCACTTTCCTATTCAGGTTTGTATTCCTCTCCTATATAAGGAGCTTCTAACATTGTTAAAGACACAACATATATCAATCATAATACATACAATTTATTCTCTCTGTAATTCTCTCTCTATCAATTTATCTTACATGATATCAGAGCTAGGTTAACAACTTAGTAATTCCGCTTCACCGGCGAGCGGCAGCCTCGCCTTGGCCGCCCGCCGGACCTCTATACATACCTTCACTCCGCTGCCACAAATTCTGCTCATAGTCCACCTTCTATGGTTTCAGGGTTAAGCCCAACACAGGCCAGACAAGCTCTAAATCTTACCACCATGTCTTCGAGCTCAGGCTCCATCATGGACCGGGTCAATCCGGTTAACCCGTCTAGGCAAGTAACATGGTTGGTGAGAACACTACTGAGCCATGAATGGGCATACTCGGCTGTCCTTTTCTCAATTGCCACCACAGAGTCCATCACTCTATCCATTGACAGTTCCATCAACTCCAGGCAACCTGCTAGAGCCCCTTGCTCTCTCTTGTCATTGATCCGATGGCTGATACCGCCTGCTGTCTCGATAGTCTTTCATATGCCCGATGTGGATTTCTTCAAGAGGGCCTGCAGCAAATCAGGGCCCTTCATTTGCATCAAAATTTCAGGGGGAGCAATGTTTACTTTGCTTACACTCTAGTGGGTGTCCATGGCTCCGGCCATCTCTCCTATAATGGAGCTCTTGCAGCCGTGTTCACCGAAGGGTTGTGTTCACTGAAGGGTTGATCTTCCTCTTCATTTCATCATTTGGGTTGCGCACAACACTTGCTCAACTTATTTCAAAACCAGTCCGAATCTCCTCCATCGCTGGAATCGGACTCTTCCTTGCTTTCATCGGTTTACAAAACAACCAAGGCATTGGACTCATCGCCGCTAACAGCCACACACACAAGCTCCACCTCTCTCTTTCTCTAGCATGGAACACTCACACAGTCGTTCAACAGCTCCGCATACTATCAATGCCCGGTAGAAATGGAAGCACAGTCGTTCTCTTTCAGATCTGAGCAAGAGAGATACACACACACAAAACACACCCACTCGATACTGCACTCTCTCTCAACCTGATCTCTCCCTCTCTTTCGGGGTTCAAGATTGGGTTGGTGGTTGTTGATGTAGAAAAAAGGAACGGAGCTACACAACACAGCAACACAACTTCTCCCCACACTCAAACCGTTCTATCTCTACAAATCTTGGTGGTGTTAATCGCATATATCAGTGGTGGGGTGGCCAAGTATCTGCAGCTGCAGCTGCAGCAGCAGCAACGCCCGTGTTTCTTCTGTTCCAGTCACCACATCGCAGTAGCAACAGCCATGGGAACCACCTCTGCACCGAGCCACCACCAGCTCTCTCTCTCTCTCAGTTTCCAGATGAACCATCATCCAAGCTAAAGCATGATGAGCGTGGTCTTTTATCAATGGCAGCAGCAGCATCTCCCGAGACTCGATCTCCCTCTCTCTCTCAGCCCCTGATTCTTCTTCGTCAAGCAACCACCATGGCATAGAATAAGGAGCTTCCTCCATCTCAGCCACTGCCGTAGCCCCTCTCTCGGGCATGGGCTGTCTGTCTCTCTCGGCTCTCTCTCTCGGCTCTCATCTTGGTTGTTTTTTGGCTCTCCACCAACTATGTTTTTGTCTCTATAATTGATCTAGGCTTGGGATCAAGGAGCAAGGCCCCGGCAGATGTTTTTGTCCTCTTTGAAGAACGTCTGCAGATGTTCATTAATGAATATCGGATGATGGAGGCAATGCTAGGAAAACTTGAAGATGAACATGAAGAGGCTATTGTCAAAATTGACAAATGATCTTTGCTATTCTGGTTTCCACCCCGGCTTGCATAAAAACATGCTTGTCGAAAGGTGTGCTCAACCCGACATCTGTCCAGAATTCACTTTCAATACTTGTTCTTGATGAGGCAGATCTTCTTTTTCTTATGAGGAAAACATTTTTTTTATATTTTCACCTCAACAAAGCAACTGATTAGAATAACATATACTTGAGTCTAACAATTATGTGTGGAACCATAAAGGTAACAAGTGACAACATCTTGTCCAAAGGCTGTTATAACTGAAAATGAAGCCATGATTCTATTACCTACTTAGAACATAGGAATTGCATGTGTATTTATCAAAAAAAAAAAAACA